CATGACCCCCGGGGGTAGGGTGGGGCCACAATGGGGGATCAAAATTTTACATAGAAATATATAGGAAAATATCTTTAAAAATCTTCTTCCTAAGAACAGCAAAGCCATGATTAGTCATATTTATATGGAAGCATCCTCAGATAGTGTAGATTCAAGTTTGTTCAAATCATGATCCCCGGGGTAGGGTGGGGCCACAATGGGGGATCAAGGTTTTACATAGAAATGTATAGGAAAATATCTTTAAAAATCTTCTTAAGAACAGCAAAGCCATGATTGGTCATATTTACATGGAAGCATCCTCAGGTAGTGTAGATTCAAGTTTGTTCAAATCATGACCCCCGGGGGTAGGGTGGGGCCACAATGGGGGATCAAAGTTTTACATAGAAATATATAGGAAAATACCTTAAAAAATCTTCTTAAGAACAGCAAAGCCATGATTGGTCATATTTATATGGAAGCATCCTCAGGTAGTGTAGATTCAAGTTTGTTCAAGTCATGACATCCCCCTGCCCCCCCCCCCCCTTCCGGATAGGATGGGGTCACAATGGGGGATCAAAGTTTACAGAGGATTATATAGGAAAAAATCTTTTTCTCAAGAACAGACAAGCCAGGATTAGTCAAATTAATATGGAGGCATCCTTGGGAGTGTAGAATGAAATTTGTTCAAATGAGGGCCCCTGGAGGTAGGGTGGGGCCACAATGGGGGATCAAAGTTTTACATATGAATATATGGGAAAAAATCTGCTGCTCAAGAACAGCAAAGCCATTTGTTATATTGATATGAATGCATCATTAGGTAGTTTAAAATTCACCCCCCCCCGTAAACTTTTCAATACTGAACTAATTTTTGCTTTTTTTCCTAGCCAAAGTGCTCAGGTGAGCGATGTGGCCCATGGGCCTCTTGTCTTTAAGTATCATTGAAAACAAATTAAATTATTTTGTTCTGTATTGTATAAAATATTATTTCAAATTGCAGATTTAATAGCGTATTTGTTTGCAGATTAAATATCAATTAAAAGTGCAAATATGAAAGTCTAATGCTTTGCATCAAAGCAATATTAGTGACGAAAAAATCAAACTTATTGAATGTACATGAATAATTTTTTACTGTCAAACGCTTTGAGAAATTACAACAAATGTGTCAAACAACAGTTTGTGCAGGTGCTTGCAAATGTCAAATTAATATGTATGGTCAAGAATTAAACTAACTGACAAAGATATTATCATGTATAAAGTGACCGCAATTTTCTTCAGCCTATCATTTTCGATTGCATAAGAGGAATATGCTTACATCTATAGTAGTAAGGGAGCAAAAAACATTTACATTTTGTTCGACATCACAGTGCATTCTATAAAAAGAAATTTATATATAATGAAATAAAAGAAAACGAATATTGAAAAATCCCAAACGTGCAAATCTTACAAAAATACGAAATAGAGAAAAAAGGTAAAATCAATGACCCCACAAAAATATGAATAAATGTTTGCATCTTCCCTTTGGTGCCTCAGCAAGCTACTTCAAATATCAACAGGACATACCAATCACGTTCAGAGGGCTTGACCAACCATTGTATTATATTTTTTCCAGTCTCCAAGAAAGGAATGATATTTTATGTCCCCGGAATTCAAAAGAGATTTAAATCTGCAAAACATATTTCTTCTTGGAAACACATTATTTGCATTTATATTTATATATGATGTGACACATTTTTTTTCTTACATCTAGCTGAAAGGGAAGTGCAAGTGGAATAAACCGACCCCATTTAATCCTAGGCTTATAATAGACCTAATGGGAAAACAAATCGTATTTCTAGAAAAATGTTATTGTGAAAGCTTTGAAGATACAGCATGCCAAAAAAGGAAAGGGAAATATTTGTTTAATACATTATATTACTCCTCATTCAACTTAGTTATAAGGAAAACCAATTATTGAAGATTTTGTACAAAATTCTTAATTCCACGGTCAGTTATTTTTGTTAAAGACACCTTACCTTGCATTGTTTTAAAAAAAAGAGCTAGGTTAACTTTATGCATAAAATGGCCCTGTAGGTTTACCAGTTTAATAACAAACACTCTAAGTCCCATTTCAAACATCAGTATAAATAAGAGACTATTAAGTGATTTCATTCCTATAAAACATAGTTTCCTCTGATGGTCCAGGTATTGGAAGACAAGCTTTATTTTGTGAAATTGCAATATTCTTGAATTTTTGCAAGAAAACCGGTTTTTTTTGAGTACTTTCAGGGAAGAATCAAAATATGAGCCCACCCCTCGATTAATTTTTTTTTTATTCTTCAAAGCAGTTCTATCATCATATAACTGCACTATTTAGATAAAAGTTTGCGCTTGCTCTCTACTTGATATTGAAATATAGTTTCAACGTTTTGCCGTTTTGTAGAAATTTTGTGGATATGGGAAAACATCATAATGCATTGACTAGCCGGAAAATTATGTCATTTTTGAAAGATAAGCAGTCATTAGGGGTGTAAATGTATTTCATTCATTGTCAACTAAAACTAAGAAGTTTCACTTTTTAAAAAAAATTTCACAGGGCCAACAAGGCCCTAAGAGAACCTTGCTCTTTATACGTTAAATTTATTTTCAAAGTTTCCATAGCCAAAAACAATATGAAATAAATTGCGTTCAATAAATTCAATAAATCTGTATGTTCAATTTCTGTTCAAATATTTAAAAGAAAAACATTTTTTTTGCAGATAAGCTTTAAGACAGAAAACTAAATTATTATTACCTATTGTTTATTTCAAAATTCATTATTTTCCCTCTAATTGATTGTACACTCATTGAAAAAAAAAAACAACTTACTATAAAAGATTATTAATGGGTTGCCCCAGATCTCCATTCCTTATAAATAAGACTACGACAATACGCCAATAGCATCACATTACCCTGATAAATATGAATTTATGTACTAAAAAATGTGTTTACACAAAAATGCGTTCAAGCTAAAATTTACGCGCAAAAATCTGTAGATATGTTATTTGGAAATATTTGCATTTCTATCTGTTTTCTCTGTGATTCTGTAGTAACTCTTTGAAAGTTGTTTGTTGATTTCTCGATATTTACAACTTAATGTAAACATCGCCAAGTGAAAGGTCAAATGCCTAATATGCATGTCAATATCTGTGTCTGGCATCAGTGGGCGGGATTTATGGAAATTAAAATGGAATGCCTTTTCTATTTTAAATCTCTTAGATAGCATTTGTAATTTATATTTACTTTTCTATTTCGTCGCCCTCGTGGCGCAGTGGTAAGAGCGTCTGCTCTGGAGTCGCGATGTATGGAGTTGATCCTTACGTCGCGGGTTTGAATACCATGCGGGACATGGAGACGGGTCCTTTGGATAATAAAACCGAGGTCCCGTGTCGCAGTAGGTGCTGACACGAAAAAAAAATCCCTCACTGCTCAATATTCCTGAGTACCGAATATAGGTCTAAATTTGCAGTCCTCTACCGACAAGTGGTACGTCTCCATATGATTGAAAAATTCTCGAGTGGGACTTTAACAAACATTTCTATTTCAAATATAACTGTAAATATGATGAATTACTGACTAGTTTGTTGCATATATCAGGGACATCATTGACAGATGGAACGTGGGCATCACCTGTTATGCAAATAATCCCACGTTTCCAGCTGTTATCAATGCCCTGACATACCCACCGAATCAGGCAGTGATTCCCTAATACAATTAAACGATAGATAATTTCTCTTAAAAGTCAGGGACTTTGAAGACAAAAACATAAGGTGATAATATTCAAAATTAAAATTTAATGACAATACAATGCACACAGATATGTCTAAAGAAAATAAATCAAATCATACTATGAAATTCATAGACTTACAACGCTGGATGCAAAACAAAAAAAAAACAAAACAAAAAAGGGTTTATATGAACAATTTATCATGCATTTAATAGCTCTCTACATTGAAAACAAACAAATGACATTTTGTGGACAGGAAAGATATCACCAACCTCTGAAAAAAGAGCTTGTTGCCTCTTAGAAAAATTGTAAGAATTATTTTTAGCAAACGTGTAGGATCGATGCGAAGTTATCGCAAAAATTTGTTTCTTATTCAAGGAAATCTTGCGTTCTTGTGGTAATAACTTGTAACCTTTAAATCTTAACAAATACAAATTATGGGAAAAAAAATCAGCTGGAGAAACCTATTTGAAAGAACTTTTTGTAACTTAATAAAATATAAAATTTTCAGGTAAATACAATTATGAGTCATCTAAATCCTGGTTAACAAATTATCAAATTAAATCAATGCTACGTCACTTTCCAGCCTTTCAATTTTTAAGTAGAACATAATGAAGATTTTTCAGTTTTTACTTGATTTTTTTGCAATTTAAACAGCTGCTTTTGCAGCATTGAAAGTGCATGTGGCTGAAAGTTTGGTGGAAAATCAAGCATTCAAGAAAAACAAGCATTATTTTATTAAAATCATATGACAGCTTTTCTTATTATCAGTTCATTTCTTTGGAAATCAATAATGAAAAAAATCTACAGGAAGAAAAAAAAGGAGGAGAAAAATCATGAACAATTGATCAATCAAAAGAATCCAAAATAAATGATAACCAATGAAAGATAGAAATTTTACTTGATAAAAAGAAATTAGATGTGTATTTTAATCTCATCGCCGCATCCATAAAAAAAAAACACCTGAGGCATCGTCACAGGTAAAATACAGGTAAAATACAGGTAAACAAAGGTGCTTAGTATTCATCAGCATTCCCGACACATAAATATCGCCAAACCACAAATATCTGTCAAAATTTAGCCATAATTATAATGCAAATAATAATTAATAATAATTAGGATTCTGCACCTATTTGCTAAAATATTAGGTTTGTCATCTTTACGCCCCGTTGAAAATGACCGAAAATCCGGAACTTCCTTTTTGTGACCTTTTGTATATAAGACGAGCTCTGAATGAGTTTTACACATTGTGATTGAGTTCAGTCTTGTATTGTTGGCTTTGTTTAATCTTAGTCCTCTTGATGTTTATTCTCATTATGAAGAATTACTGCAGTCTATTTTTCATTGTTTCCTTAATATCACTTTGTCTGGCTGATGACTGTAAGTATATATATTTCTTAAGGTTGTTTTTTTTTCCCCCTCAATTTTTTATATAAAAATGTGGTTTGGTCTGTATACGTATGAAGAGTTGTAAGTGTACTTGATAAAAAGTCCTAGTATATCAATAATTCTTATAGATATTTAGATGTTTTTTAAAGTCAGCGCGTTTATGTAAAAGAACAAAACAAGGTTTGTACCAATCTCCAAAAATTCAGTATTTTGCTATCCAATACTATATAAAAAGTTATGTTAATTCGATCTGTTCTTGGACTCAAACGTAAAAAAAAAAATGTTTTTCTTTATTTTATTGTGTTCTAAATTCTGGTCATTCAGTTTCAATTATATTAAAAACGTAAGTATATGCGGAGATAGTTTTTGTAAGGATTTTTTAAGTTTCATTTCTTTTCTTCTATGAAATTAGCATGCCTTATTTTTTTAATTAAAAGCTTACCAATTAAGATGGTGTGTAAAATCATAGTATGCAAGAATATCTAATTCAACAAAGGATGCAAGAATATTTTATTCAGAAACAAAATTTATTTTATTCCTTAAGAATGGCTTATACCTTCTGAATTTGGAAGCGCATAATTTAATCAATAAGGCATTTTCTCGGTGTGCAAAATATTTAATGGTAAATTCCAACGTCAGAAAACCGAAGAAGCCATTCATGTACATATACAGCCAGATGCCTATCATAGCTAACTTTTTTTTCAAAGATCATGCATAAAGAAATGCGAATTTATATTATATGAACTCAACATAAAGAGAAAGGGATAAAGTCACCTTAATTCTTTAAACTCAGAAATTTAAATCCTTTGAACTTTGATTTCTAGATCCTTTAAACTTTGACTTCTAATGCTTTAGTATTCCTGCTTATCATTTTCTTCAATAGCTGAAAGTTTGCTCTTGTTCAAGTGAAAAAAAAGCCTCAGAATATAGTAGATATTCTTTTATTATTGATCTAATCTTTTTTTTTACTTTTCTTTAAAAAACATTATAGCACATGACGGAGTGTGTTCTGTGGGCTATGACACATATAGAGTAGGACAAACATTTCTGGATACCACAGGGCGACAATGCATGTGTGGACAGGATTATAAAATTATCTGTGACACAAAGGGTTGTAAGTGTTGGTTTATACACTCCTTAATTTTCAGTCTAAATAATTTACAGGGTTTTCCCTTTACTTGATAATGAAAAGGAGCACAGAGTGGGTGTGACTGGGGATGCTTACTCCTCCAGGGCACCTGATCCCACCTCTTCTTTCAGAGATCTGTGTAGGCTCTGCTCATTATTTATACTGTTTAAATGGACTTTTGAGAATGATCACTTTTGTTATCCTCAAATTTTATTCATAACGATTTATTTTCTCTGATACTTTTTAGTCTATTATAAAAATAAGCTAAGAAAAATTCGGTTTGGCCTGATGATCATAGACGGCTTAGCTTTCTTCGATATATCCAGTTATAGATTTATTATTCATAATAATCGTAGGGAAAATATTTTCAATACTTTAAATATGCAACTTCGCTACCAAGGTATTTCACTGTACTTGGAGGATATGGTAATAAGGTTCTAATAGTCTACAAAACCCTTTCAAAGCTGTTACCGACGAAAATATCATCCCTACTGTAAAATTGTGTTGAAACAGCAGAATATAATAAACCGATTATATATTTGAATATATTATGATTCGTGTTTTAAATATATAAACGAACCCCTACACACGATTTTGTTTTTTGTCAGATTGTGACTACCTTGGTCAGATCTACAAAGTAGGAGCTGCTTTTCCAGTAGGAGATGGTTGTAATAAATGTGTCTGTGGCAGTGATGGAACTGTAGAATGTACTAAAGAGCCATGTTATCCAGGTAATAAAGGATCTAAATAAGTTCAGTTTAATATTGTTCTACTAGTATTGAGATTTTTTTTTTTAACAAATACATATAATAAAGTGTGTCTTAACTGTTGTTTAAAAATATCCAATCTTATTGGATTATTTTGGAACTTCCTTAGTCCTTATATATTTTGAGCTAATTTATCCAGTATGTACCAAATTATAGGAGATTTCTATTGTGGTATTATTCCCTAGAGGTATTTTTCAATTAAATCCAAATCTGGAGTTTCTGGTCGACATATCAACGTTGTAAAAGTGTACCAACCTGTCAGGAATGACTGCACGTTGTAGATGGAAATGTGCATTGTCGGCCCTATAATTTATTTTTAAGACCTCACATATTTATTGTTTTTAAAAATATAATTAATTATGAATTGCGAAGTGTTTGAATTCCACATACACATTCTTCTTTTGTTTTATATTTGCGCAGTGAAATTTTATTTCAGAACAAGTCATTAATCTTAACTTCTCTCTCTTCAATAGATAAATGAAATTGTATCATTTCTATTTCATTCATTGCTATGATTGAGAGGTTGTTAAACTTTGACCTTTAACCTCAGGTTGCAGACACCTTGGAAGGACTTACAAGGTCGGTGACCTTTTTGACCAGGGCGATGACTGTAATACGTGTGAATGTTTACCGACAGGGAAAGTCGTATGCACAAACAAAAAGTGCTTCCCAGGTAAAATACACAAATAATAATGTTTTAATTAAATTATAAAGCAGAGAAACACTCATGTAATCAAACGAACAATAGATAAAAAGGAGCCTTGAACATAATATAAAAAAAAATACCACGGAAATATTTTTTTTCAATAGCAAATAAGTTTATTTCACACAGTCGATGATAATGTATTATAATTTATCATAATTTTGTCGATGTTTTGTTACATGTAATATACTTATTATTATTTATTTATTCATTTATTTATCTATCTATCTATCTATCTATCTATCTATCTATCTATCTATCTATCTATCTATCTATCTATCTATCTATCTATCTATTTATTTATTTATTTATTTATTTATTTTTGTACCAGCAGAATAATTCATTTTCAAATTTCTCAACTGATCTTTAATACTTCCCAGATTGCTTTTTTGGTGGCCAGAGATATTCCACCGGTGCTGTTGTTCCCAAGGGCGATGCCTGCAATAGATGCACGTGCATGGTTACTGGAGACATGCATTGTACTCAAGACTCATGTGAACCAAGTAAGTTTCCTTTTTTTTTACTTACTTCTCAAAAATTAGTATTGATTTCAAAATTGATGAATGGTTCTAAAATTTATTTACGTACAAAGAAAAGAAATATCTACAAACATTAATGAATTTGTATCTGTTTAAATTTTGGTTTAATTTGCGCATTAAAATAATTTTGCTACAAAAGTGGAAAATCTTCTCTTTTTTTAGAATGTGAAGTTAACGGAAGAGTGTACAGCCCTGGTGAAAAATTTCGGAAAGGAGACGGATGCAATGACTGTGTATGCCTGCCTGGAGGAATTGCACAATGTACCAATGCTGTTTGTTACCCAGGTAAAACAACATTCAGAGAAATATAATACTGGGGTTTTAGCATACCTTTTACTTCATAACTTTGGTCTTGGTAAGTTAATCTGCCACTGCATAAAACAAACCAGTGAAATGGATTTACATTTTACAGATTGTTTTTTCGAGGGAATGTATTATACGAGGGGTGACATGTTTGACAAGGGTGATTCATGCAACACATGCAAATGCCTGATTGACGGAACAATACAGTGTACAGAAAAATCGTGCTTTCCAGGTAAATTTTTATAAACATAGTATTAATAATTCATTCATTATTGACCTTATTTAACTATACAGTTAAATGATGATACATTACTCGCCGATATGTCAAATACCTGGGATAAATCAAAGTGAGTTTCGACCACAGTTTGAGTTCCTGTGCTATCTCGAACACTCTTGTATCTCGATTCTTTTTTTTTTTTTTTTTGCTAGCCTAGTAAAGTTTGATGTTAAATTGTTGTTATAGCCAGTCATGTACTTTTCACTGTTAAATTTTCACATTATTAAAAACAATTCTGATGATAGATTATGAATATCAAGCTTTGCTCTTTGTAGACTGTTACAATCAAGGAATCAGGTATAGAGCTGGAGATACATTTAAGCCTGATCCGTGTAACACATGTTGGTGTATGGTGACGGGCAACTTTAGCTGTACTGAATTCTCTTGTTATCCAGGTATGACTATATTTTTATAATAAACATGTACGATAGAAATTGAATTTGATGGTTTTTACCAAAAAAAAAAATCTCTGAACAACATTGAAAATATGACAAGTTAACATTTTCATTAGAATGACTTGATTTTTTAAATAACCCTGAAAAATATATTATGGTCAAAAAATACAATTGGAATGTTCATTATAGATTGTCTGTACTTGGGGAAAATCTACAAATCTGGAGTCAATTTCCCAAAGGGAGACAAATGCAACACCTGTATCTGCTCTTCAACTGGTGACGTAAGGTGTACCGAAATCAACTGTGGTGAAACATATCCAGCCAAGAAACCTAGCATTTTATACGACAGTAAGTAAAATAAGTAATTTAGCCTAGCATTTGTATTTAAAGGGTACTAAGTGGGAAAAAAAAGATGGCTTTACTTAGGTTCAAGTGTTTCTAAAACATTTACTGTTTAGAATTTTTGGGTACATATTGATCTTGGAATAAATATGATAGATTTATTTAAATTTCGTTGCATACTACAAATACTACAAACAAAATTGGCATAATGGTACATATCCTCTGATATGCTAAAATACATTTGTAGATTACAACTTTGATGAATTAAATCGAATTCTTTTTTGGAGCTAATTTTTTTAAAGTCTATTATGTATTTTGGTTGATATAACAGAATTACATAGGTTTAATAATTTACAAGTAATTCTGAGCACCATTTTCTTTGTTCAACCAGAGCCCGGATGTACCTACAATGCTAAAGGTTATGCTTCCGGTCAGGTGATTCCAGCAGGAGACGGCTGCAACATGTGTACATGTCAACCAGATGGTTCAATGTCATGCTCAAACTATCCCTGTATCTCGGGTAATTATAATTACCATGTTTTGTTAAAATACCCCTGTACCTCATGTAATTGTGATTACTTTGTCATGCTCAAAATATTTCAGTATCATGGGTAATTATAATCACCATATCTTATTTAAAGTACAGCTATAACTCACTCAGGTAGTTTAACTAACACGTACTCTCCAATTACTTCTGTATATCGGGTATAATTATAATAACAATCTCTTATTCAAACTATACCTGTATCTCAGAATTCATGATAAATTCTATTTAATAAAGATTTCGTTTGTATTCATAGATGATGACAAGTAAAAGACCAGAGAGTGAAAGACCAAGATTCCATTTTATACTTTTTTGAAATCCAGTTGACAGTGTATTAATGTACATTTCATGTTGTATCATAGTTATTCTTCAATATTTATTATTTCAATGTTCACCTGTTTCGTTCATTAATAAATATTGTCAACCGTAAGATGAATTTTTATCTGTTATGATTGATTGATTCATTGTATGTTGTTTGATGTCTTGTTCGAGAATTTTTCACTCATATTGATACTTCACCATATACCGGTGAAGGACTTCAATTTAGAACTTTACTCAGCACTCAGGGTCATTGAGCAGTGAGGGTTCTTTATCGTGCCAACGCCCACTTTGACACGGGGTCGCGGTTTTTAAGGTCTTATCCGAATGACCCGCAATTTTAACTTTAAAGTGCCGAGCGCATGGCGAAGGAACAGTTGCTGCCCATTTTATATTGACTTAGGTCAGTCGCGGCCGAGAGTTCTGATTAGTAGAATTGGTTAATCCCATTTAGTTATAAATGGTTTTGCATTTAGTAAATTTATTTTATGATATTGCAATAAATTAAAAAAAAAAACACTTTCTTTCAACACACAAACATTGATGCACGCATAACATTGATCGTCTACTAAGGCAGACACGTGCTGATTTTAGTTTTATGGGAAGTTTTTTTTTCCTGATGTTAGTTGAGAAAGCTTGTGTTTCAAACATAGATACTAATAAGGGTGGTAATGATAAAATTATTTAAGTTATTTTTTAATTAATCAAAAATATAATTATAAGGAATAATTACCCAAACATATGGGTCCCCCGGGTGATATGAGCATTTTTATCTTTCCATTCCACTCCATCCAATAAATCTAAAAATCTAAAAATAACATTAATGCAGTTATTTTCTAAGTGTCAATCTTACACATTATACACTGTATTGGGCATTAATTTTTTAAGTAGGGTACAATCCCATATATAAGCCTAATTCATGGATTGTACATTGTACATCAGATACAAACTACAAATGGCGGAACAATTTATCTCTTCAATAGAGAAAGCTCATGAGTCATGGCCTGTCGATAAAGGAAGCTTTCTCCTTTTAAGCATCTGATTTCAACTTTGTTTTTTTTCCCAGTGGTCCGGGTTTCTTGTGCCGTTCTCCATTTGATCTTTATTCTTTTAGGATTGTGTCAGTAGACAAAACAAAGCGTTTCGTCCTTCTCCGCAACATGCAATAAAAATACTATAAGTTATGAAAAAATGCATAATTAATGGTTTTTAAAGGATACAATTACAATAATTGATTACAAAAATGTAATAAGTGATAAGAGAACAGTGTGTGGTATTTCAATGTCAGTTTTGACAATTTACTAACATAACGAAGTTTATTATACAAAACCATTTCCTTTCAGTAAATCTAATTTACTTTTACCGTATCTTACTGAATTTTGATGTCCTTTTACTGCCAATTACATAACCTTTAAGGAACCTTAAGACAAAGGAAACCAAGTTTTCTTTGTTCTTTACATTAAAATAACCTTAAAGAAACATTTACATAGGAAGTAAGATGTCGCTTATTATGTAATTTTTTTTAAATGATATCAACCGTGACAAAAGAAAAATAAATTGTTAAGCAAAAAGCTACAGAAATCATTATCTGCATGTGCTGATGACATTTCAATTTAATATTCACTCATAGGTTAAATGTTTCAGAAAACAGAAGAGCACGGGGTGTTTCAACAAACATGTGCCGTTTCCGTGGTTTAAATAAAAAGTTACGCTGTATTAATGCAAGAAAAATTTTGTAAAAATGTAAAGCACATAACCAAACAGTTTTATAAATGTGAAAGTTGACGTGCCGCTGATTCATTTACTTTTAACACAGACATTTTGTAAAGTTTTGACATCAGCAGCAGTTTTCAATTTAACGCATTGTTTACCTGTTCAAAATGACCACTATGTTTCTCAATAACCTCATTTTGTCTCTGATGTCCTGTGTTGGTTAAGATTTGACATCATTTGAAAAGTCTGTTTCCTAGAAAAATAGTTCTCATATGAGTACTTCTTTTTCAAAATTTAATGTGCTAGTATTCGTTATTTGTTGATTGTTTTCTGTTTATATTGTGTAGTTCAAAAATATCCACAGATATCCATTTTTGAAGAAAAAAAATCGACAACCCGACTTTTAAAGATGTAATTTAAACTTCAATTTAAAAAAAATGACGTTATTTTATTTCCCTTAAATCACAATTATACAGTTATAATTTTGCAACTATTTTAATATTGTGCATAAATATAGACATCTAAAGTCGGGACAAGTTTCTTGAAACAGGCTGTACTTTAACGAATCCTCAATGTCATCTATGTTACTTATGTTCTTAAAATAGAATTCCATGAAGCCATAAAATTACTTACTTATCATGACCTACATATTACACCAATGTGTATTTTTGAAAGAAATAACAGTGATAATTTATCTTTTAGAAATATATATAATTGAAATAATATAAGAATTTTGAATGTTTTATCGGGGCTGCTTTTTAATCACCATACCCAATGCTTCCATTTGTCGCCCGCGTGGTGCAGTGGTTAGAGCGTCTGCTCTAGAGTCGCGAAGTAAGGAGTTGATCCTTACGTCGCGGGTTCGAATCTTACTGTGGGACGTGGAGACCGGTCCTTCGGATGAGACCGTATAAACCGAGGTCCCGTGTTGCAGTAGGTGCTGGCACGAAAAATATCCCTCACTGCTCAATGGCCGTAATTGCCGAGTATAGGACAAAATTTGCAGCTCTCCACCGGCAAGTGGTGGCGTCTCTATATGAGTGAAAAATTCTCGAGAGGGACGTTAAACAACATACAAACAAAACAATGCTTCCATTTTATTATTAAATAATTTGCACTGACTTTTTATCCTTTGACATAAACTATACAATTTTTTTTAAACTTGTTTTTTCTGATATATTTTGTCTATTAAGATATTTTATTTAAAAAAAAAAACAGCAAGAAATCAAAATATGATCAATAATTAAGTGATTAAATTTGAGGAGAAGCTAAGAAAACAACTGCTTAATTGTTGCCCTTTTCTGTCACTAACAACTGTTTGTAATGAAATCATAAAGAGTTGCCAATAAAAGTTAAGAGGAAGATGGGCATTGAGGTAAAGATAAATATTTCATCGCAAATAAAAAAAAAAAACAACTTTTTAAAATCTTATTCTAAACTATGATAAAGTGTTCTTAGCCATCGAATAAAATTTATATTTTTATAGACGAATTACAGTATAAAAACTAGGGTATAATTTTTTACAATTTCTTTTCTTCCATGTTTACAATTTTCAGTATCCCAAAATTTTGAATATCATTTATATATTTTTTTCATGTAATTTTCGCTACTTCACACTGGATAGGTTATTTAAAAGGAGAGATAACTCTCATTCAGTTACTATAATTTCTATTGTTTCACAGAACGCGAGCTCTCTGAGTGACAGCAATTTTTTTCTTGAGAATATCATTATCAAGTGCGTTTTTCCTTCATATTTTCGTGTTCTCTTCTTTTTTCCTTTTTTGTGTTTTGTTTTTGTTGGTGTTGTTGTTAATTTAAACATGAAATATATGGAGATAACGAACAGTATTCAAGCTCAAAAGTCCATTAAACATTACAAAATAGGTGCAGAGCAAACACGGACCTCCAAAATATCAGAGGTGGGATCAGGCCTCGAGACCATAAACTGAAAACAGACTTAAGTCAAAATTTTGATTTTGAATATCTTGAGTTTTATTTACCATACATACTTAAAATTTTGCATGTTTGTATAATATTCCAGTATAAGCATATGATGTAAATTTTGTTGTGTTATCAAAATAATTTCAGAAGTTATGTGGATTTGAAATTTTGACTTAAGTCTGTTCTCAGTTTATAGTCTTGGGGCCAGGTGCCATGGAGGAGTGAGCATCTAAATGCAGTTATGCTATATAATGAAAAAATTGCTGTTGTGATTAACAACAAAATATGCACATTAACAATAACAAATCGACATGGAATGCAAAATTTATGGGTTACCACGATTTAAAATGAATGCAGAATTTAAAAGCACAACAAACCAAAAACACCTTGAGTTTTCAAAATATTTTATATGATGCCTACTCATCCACGAAGTAAAATTTTATTTTAATTAAACTTCTTAAAATAATAAGTAATACTGTGTTCCAAAATCTGCATTTCAAGCGATTTCGTAGAAAGGTAAATACGTGTTCTGTATGAGGAAAACACAAATATATATCTTCTTATTTGAATTTCAAATTTAATTAATTGTTTCAAAATTATCATAAAGATTTCTTTTGTAATGGGTTGACATGCTTAAGCATATGAAGATATGTGTTATACATTCATTGACTGCTGTGTCAGCATTACGTCTAAGATACATGCAGATAGTTCAAGATAGATAGAGTTTACACTCTACAGCTTAATCAAAAGCTTGAGATCCATACCTTTGAAGTGAAATTCTTCTTCCCGTATCAGAAGGATTTTTTCCTCGTAATATAAAAGATAATTTCTTTAACAGCACCTACTTCGACAAGGGACCTCAAAATGTACCAAGTTATAATTTTAAAAAAATGTCAACTGTGGAGCGAAAGAAAGATTTATATTTAAAAAAAGAAACAAGGAAAAAAGTTCTGGGTTTTCTTTTTTTCTTTTTTTTTTTTTTTTTTTTTTTTTTTTGTTTTGTGTGTTTTTTTTTTTTTGTTTTTTGTTTTTTTTTGTTTTGTTTTGTTTTGTTTTTGTTGTTGTTGCTGTTGTTTCTGTCCATACTTGTCTCTAACAAAAGCCGAAAGAAGAGAAGATAACTCTTTTTTTACTTTAGGGTTGGTAATAATCTATAGTTTATCGATTTTATTTTATTATGATAATTTTTATTATTATGAAATGCATTCTCAAGTACGCATTTTCTTCATTTTTCACTTGTTTGTTTTTGTTTTAAAGTTCAGTAAATTATTTCTAAGCTCACAAACAGATATGCATGTGAGGACATTAAATCGAAATGGAATGCAGAATTAAAAATTATAACTAACCATAAATGCCTGTAATTTTACAGCACTTCATAAATAAAACTCTACATTGTGGGTGTTTACCTCCGTCGCTGTCTTGTGGTCGTTTGATCATAATTCCATAAACTCAGGGTCT